CCCACCCAGCACAAGGCCTGGCATTCAGTAGGTGCTCAATAAATGTTTGTTGAGTAAATTCATGATGTAAGATTAATGATTTAGCCCCTGCCCCTTACTCTCTACCCTACCAGCTCTCTCCAAGATGCCAGTGGAGGGTAAGGTGATGACTAAGTCAGGGCCTGAAAATTATGGGGCTATTTCATGAGGTCATCCGGGGACACAGTGAGATGTCACAGTAAAGCACCCAGCAGAGCAATGGCAGCAGCCTCCATCCTCCATAACAGCTGAGGACCTGTCAGACTTCGTGCTCCTCCTCGAATTTAAGCGCTTAGCAGTAGTAGGTGGGCGCTGAGTAGGAGGCATGAATTCTGACTTGTCGGGCTGATCAGCAGTAGCTTCCTTGGAGGGGGCTTGCTGCAGGGGCTCAGAGCCACCTGGGTTGGGCCTGGCTCTGTCACTACCTGTGCGCCCTTGGCTAAGCCTTTATTTCCGTATCTTAAGGGTAGAACACCCCAGTCGGTCTTTCCCCTCAAGCGACAGGCTCTCTCATACCCTCTTGTCTTTCCTCCTGCAGTTCCCTCCACTGGATGAGCCAGGCTCACCCTTTGCTTCGACCCCACCCTGGTCTACCTGGAGAACCCGTGCTCATCTCTCCATACTGGGCTCAGAATCACCCCCGCTGAGCCCTGCAGCCTGCCTGTCCTCCCCGCTTCTTCAGGCGGACTTGCCCATCCCTGTCCCTGCTCCAGACTCCCAGCAGGGCTGTCTGAGTGTCTTGTCTCCCGCCCTCTATCCCCCATGCCCTACCGAAACCCAGCCCCACGCCTTCACAGCCCCCTCCTCCCACACCAACGCCCCTGCCTGACAGTTGCTCTTGAAATAGCCCCTTCAGCAATCCCTTTCACAAGCTCCCGTTGAAGGCCTGGGCCCTGATCTTATCTCCTTATCTTCCGCAGGGGCGCATCTCCTGTGACAAGGGGGCTCGGATGGAAAGTCTCCATGGAGTTGCCAAAAGTGCGCTTACCCCCTGCATGACTTGGGGTGAATCACTCCACTCCCTGGACCTCAGCGCCCACATCTGTGACACAAGGACAGTGAGCTGCATGAAGGAGAGAGCGTTAAAAAGTGGAAGCCTGCTCCTCAAATGTGCTTTCCCTTTTGGACCTCAGGGAGCCAGGTACCCCCAGAAGGCTGGCAGCCAGGCGGGGACCTAGGTTGCCCACCTTCCAGCACCCGCAAAGGAAAACTCAGAGTGAGCTCTGCTTGCCCTCCCAGAGGACTCTAGTTCAGCAACAGTGAGTGTGCGAGGGTTTGCCACAGCGGTGGGCTGCTGCAGGCTATTGGGACAAGCCGGAGACAGGGCCCTGGGCTCTGGACCCCACCTGCCATATTGGCTGATCTGCTCGAAGTGCTGATGAGAGACAAGCACATAGAAAGGGACCGCTGAGGGGCCCTATGCAACCAGTCTATCGAGGGCAGGTTTCCTGGGCTGGGGCAGGACTGGCAGGCAGAAATGCAGGCAAGGAGACCAAAGGGATCACTAGCATCTGCCACCTGGACTCCTGCCCCTTCAGCCTGCTTTCTGCTGCCCGCCCTGCCACAGGATGCTTCCCCTACGTGCCAGCCACCTGAATCCTCCACACACAGCACCCTCCCACCCCACCCCTGCCAGGCCAGTTTCTGTTTTCTCGATTTTTTTTTTTTTTAGTTTTTAAATAAACAAAAAACATTTTTAAAAGGATAAGTTTTAATGGCAAAGATATTAAAATTCCGTAAAATAGCCATGCATGCAGTAAAATTTTCACTTCAAAGTATTATACTTCGCAGTTTGCATTCTGTTTCAATGTTTTAAATTTTAAACACAAATTATAACTCCAAACGGTCACATGGCGTGACAGAATTGAAGGACATCCAGTTCTGTCTCTTCATCTTTACCATCGCTGTGGGATCGCTGTTCATATCAGCTGTTTAAATGCACGAACATGCATCGCTGCAGGGGACGGGAGGCATGACATGTAGCCGACATCAGCTCAGAGGATTCCAAACCCAGATGATCTGGAACTCACTCTCAAAGCAGATGCATGTATCCGAGGGAGCCACCATGGAACTGAGAACTGACTTCCATGTAGAATACAGTGCTTCTTGAAGGATAAGGAACAAAAATGCCTTCATTTGAAGCTTACAGGCTTGGGCCTGGTTGGACCACAGGTGGGAGAGTCGTGCAGGAGAGCTCTACCTCTGAAAGGAAAATGGAAATCAGACTCCAAGACCGAGCCACATAGGAAGAAAAGATTTGTAACGAGACACATCAAAAAGAGCCCTCGAGTGACAGGAGGAGACAGGCTGCTTGGGAACTGTGACTAAGGGGGCAAGAGGAAGGATGGGGGCATCCTCAGGGATCAGGGCCCTGACCAGCCAGCTCTTCAACGGCTCTCCCTCCCTCCCTGGTGGCCATAGGACTCTGTGGCCCTGGGGGACTGGGAACCACTGGTCCCATGAGCATACCGTCCCCTCTGCCAACACATCTTGGCCCTCCGTGCAGCTTCTCCTAAAGAAAGAGGCCCCCAGGCTCGCACAGTCTCACTCCTGCCACCTCCCCTCTCCAGAGCCACGTCTCCTCTCTCTATTCCTCTGTCCTCTAAACCCACTGGCTTTCAGCTCCTGCAATGCACCTACCCTACCTGCAATGGATCTCAACCATGAAGACCCTTCCCCTTTTGTGGCTGGCGACTCGTACTGACCCTCCAGGCCCCATCCATAGGGAGCCTTTCCTGTCTCAGGCTCACTAGATCCAAAACAAGTGTCTGGGTCTCCCTGGTCCTTACTCTTATAGCTTCTTTCATAGAACATAACATCACTAATTACACGTGTATGTCTGTGGGTGGATCTGGTGAAGCTACAGCTCCCTACAGGTCTGTGAGTGCCATACAGAATAGGTGTGTGCCTGTCCTGTTGCTCACTGTGGCCTCAGCCCCTAACACAATGCCTGGCAGGGCCTCAATGCGAATTTGTGCAATGGATGCATCTGCTGTGACCTTGCCTGTCACAGCTCTTGGGTCAGGCTTGGGTTTGTGCTTGAACAGCTATTAGGACCTGGTGCCTCTGGTCAGGGGCAGTGTTCGCCCTGGGTCAGGCCAGCCCCGGGTCAGTGGACACCTTTGCAGAGACTGGCCCTGCCAGGCTGAGGCTCAAACCCAAGACCATGAGGGAGCCTTCCCTCCCTGGCATCTTTCAGCTGTAATACCCAAGAACCTTCTTCCCGCCCTCCCCTGCCCACCTCAAAACCTCAGCATTCTGCAACCACTTTCACAAAAACTGTCCTCCAGCCGCAGTGGGGCTGCTGTTGGCCACAGGCCTGATTGGATCTCTTTATCTCTCAGCTCCAACGGCCCCCATGGAGACAGCTGCAGCAGAGCAAGGCTCAGGGCCTGGTGGGCCTGCTCCTGTTCCCAGGGGCTCCTGGGAGTGGGGTCCTTGCACCTATTCTCATGACAAGAACACTGAGGTCGATAGTGAGAAGGGGCTTAACTCAAACTATGGTGGCTTCACACTGGGTCAAGGCTGGGGCAGGCCAGGAGTGTGTGCACATGAGTGCATGTGTGTATGTACATGTTCCGGCGCTGAGGACTCTCCTGAGAGAGGCAGGTTGTTCTGTTCTGTTTTGTTAGTTAGTTTGTTTGTTTTTTTATTGATTTCAGAGAGGAAGGGAGAGGGAGAGAGAGAGAGAGAGAGAGAAAGAGAAACATCAATGACAAGAAAGAATCATTGATTGGCTGCCTCTTGCATGACCCCCACTGGAGATCGAGCCCACAACCCAGGTATGTGCTCTGACCTGGAATCAAAGCAGGGACCCTTCAGTCCACAGGCCGACACTCTATCCACTGAGCCAAACCAGCTAGGGCTGGTTGTTCTGTTTTTAGCAAGACCAGAAAAACTTACTATGGGGCCTTGGAGAGCTGGCCTAGGAGCCAGTACCACCCTGGGGACCTTGAGCAAGGGGGACCAAGGCAGAGAGGAAACTAGACACAACAGTGAAGTGGGAGAGGGACACCAGATGGATGTCACGACTAAACAGGCCAAAATCAATGTAGGGAGGGAGGAAGAGAAAAGGGAAGGGGCATATAGAGAGGGTATCTATCAATGTAGGAGGGAGAAGGAGATAGTCCATAAACTGTTCTAGAGCCCTTCCTAGAAAACTATATCAGGTCCCAAATGCATATTTACAAATATGAATGAATGAACAAATGAATGGACCTCCCATTCCTGTTTGCAAGTCGAGTAAGTCTGAAAATGGGGGTGCGTGGGGGAACAACAGTAAGAAGTCGAGTCTCGCATACATGCCCTGAATTTATGTGCTTTCTCCTCTCTGTCTCACCGTTGGGGAAGTTGCATGGCCCCTTGGAGTTCAGCCTCTACCCTTGCAATGCCTCCCTCACTGCACTTAGGAATTTCTGCCGTATTTCCAAAACACGACTCAATTGATGAAAGGATAAATACCAGGCATAATAGCAACAATAACAATAATCCTTACATACGTTTGATGATTTACATCATATTGAATCTTATAACAAATCTGTGAGATTATCGGAACAGATATTGTTTTATGCCAGTTCAGTAAGAAAGAAACCATGAGTCCAAGAGAGACAGGTGGCTCAGCCAAGGTTACAAGTTTGGGAGATAGTGGAACATGGGCTCGTAATTTAGGGCTAAGTCTCCAGGCTCTGCACTTGCTCTATCACTCTGGACAAAGGCCAAAAGGGGTATTGGGAAAAGAGATCAAAATACAAAAAAATATAACTGCTCTTATGGAGAAATGCTATCATCACAGAAGAAACTGTCCATCAAGAAGGTGGAAAGGAGGGAGTGATTTTCCAGAATGTTTCTATGGGAATATACTTTATTGTCACAGGAGTGTTCAAATCATATATCACAATCAAAAACAAAGAAATTTTCCTTTGCCTAAAAATCTGAGTAAGTTGCTTAGTTTCAGAACTCACTCACTTCTACAATGACCCTCACAACATATCCACAAGTTATGAAGAGAACAGATACTAGCTCTCCGTCCACTCTACAAATGGAAAACAAAGCCAAAGGGAAGTGACCTACCCACTGTCAGTCCTTTTTACAAACCAGTCGCTGTCTCCCTAATCTCTTCACTGCTGCCTGCATCTCCTGGTTCCTCAGGGTGTAGATCATGGGGTTGAGCATGGGGGTCATGACCGTGTGGCTGATAGACACAGCCTTGTCCATGGAGAAGGCAGTGAAGGGCCGGGCATAGAGGTAGATGCTTGGAATGAAGACCATAGACACCACGACGATGTGGGTGGTGCAGGTGGAAGCTGCTTTCTTCCTTGCCTGCTCTGAATGGGACCTTAGCATCACCAGGATGACCAAGTAGGAGGCCAGGAGGAGGACGAACCAGATGACATCCAGCAGCCCACTGTTGGAGATCATGAGGAACTCTAGGAGGGAGGTGTCAGTGCAGGCAAGTCTCAACACTTGTGGAACGTCACAGTAGAAGTTATCCAGGACATTGGGGCCACAGAAAGGCAGTGGCAGCATCAGAGCCAGTTGGGTAATGGAGTGGACAAAACCTACCATCCACGCTGTCACCACCAGCCCCACACAGAGCTGAGTGTTCATGATGGTGACATAATGGAGGGGCCGGGAGATGGCAACAAGGCGGTCATAGGCCATCACTGAGAGGAAGAAGACCATGGCACCTCCCAGAAAGTGGAAGAAGAAGACCTGGGCCATGCAGCCCAGGTAGGAGATGGTCTTCTTCTCAGAGAGGAAGTCCACCAGCATCTTTGGGGCAGTGACTGAGGAGAAACAGAGGTCTAAGATAGCCAGATTCCGAAGCAGAAAGTACATGGGGCTGTGAAGCCGGGAGTCTGCGGTCACTGTGATCATGATGAGGAGGTTTCCCAGAACAGTTGTGGTGTAGACCAGCAGGAACACCAAAAACAGGAAAAGCTGGAGCTCCCGAGTCTGTGAGAGCCCCAGGAAGACAAATTCTGATATCCAGGTGAGGTTCCCTGGCTCCATGGGGTGTTTTCCATACACCTGAGGAAAACGAACCACACACGGAGATACGTGAAGTCACTTTCAGTGCTCAGGAGCTAAATCGATTTGTCCAGGTTCACATGTTGGGCATCCTCATGTGCAGACCATATAACCAGGTGCCGATTAAGTGACCTTATCGCTGGAGAGTTTACAGTTGCTGCTGGAATAAATATTTATGAGATCGTCAAGCCATCCAGAGACACATGCAACCTGCCTTTCAAAGATTCAGTGTAATAAGGCAGTGGGAAGACACTTGGAGTCCAACAGACCTGCAGTCCAACTTCAGGGCTGCTATGTCCTCGAGATTTGACCTTCGGTGAATGACTGAACCTCTCTGGGTCTCAGTTTCCACATCTGCAAGGTGAGAATAAAAATGTTTTCTTTGTAGACTAGTCCAGGGAATTAAATAAAATAACACATAAAGTTCCTCGAACAGTGCCTGGAATAATAAATGAACATCACTCTCCTCTGTATAGTCTCCTACTCCAAAGACACCCTCTCTTCTTCCTGTCTCTAATGCATTTTTCTACCCATCATTTTTTATGCAACGTTTAACACATTATAATGTTGATGAAGTTTTCATGTGTCTGTGTTTTTCCTCCATAATTCATTGTAAGTTCCCAGAGACATAAATGTGGATCTTATAGTTTATTTGTGCCCAATCTTGCGATAGATAGTACTCAAAAAGCTTGTGATATTGACTGCTGAATGGCTGACTAGCTATAGAGTGAGCCCCCTGCACCTTTCTGATGTAGGTGGCCCCTTACTGAGTGAAGACAGGATATACATGGTGTGTATATTGAGACAAGAGAGATGGGTGAGAGAGATTCTCTGGATTAAGAAATAGATGATGATGAAATTGTATGCAGAGGACTCAGGGAGCTCTTTTGAAAGGAATAAGAATTTTAAAATATGTTACTGAATACAAGGGTGGAAAACAAAGGATGATGTTGAAATAAGAGAAATAGAATAGACAAAGGGATAAAGAAGGGAGATTATGAGGAAGTGAGATAAAGGAATAGAGCAAGTGAAGGAAGGGAGTGGAGAGGTAATGAAGTGCTGGGGAGAGAACAGGACCAAAGTGGTGAAGGGGATGGAAGACGAGAGATAGAGGGTAACAAATGAGGGGTTAGGTGGCCTCCCAGTCCCGCCACCGTGTCTCAGCCTCCCATCCTCTCCCAGCTGCCTGCTGCAATCTATTGTCTATTAGAAGTCTTTTTAGTCTCATCCTTCTGCTTCCGTTTGCTTCCACTCCAGCCCATTTTCTAGACAGCTGTCAGAGTGATCTTTCTAAACTCACATCTGATCTTGCTTCTCCCTCATTGTATTCTTTTGGTTGTGTGGTGCCCACAACTTAAAACTCAGACTCTTAGAAGTCCCCTACCGAGCTTTTGTAAATCAATTCAAGGTAGAAAAACATGCTTATGTTTTCTAACCTAATGTATTAGTAGGCAATTTATGTGATCTTGTTTTACGTGACTACGTGGAGAACTTTACGGTGTATTTCCTTACCCTCTGCTCTCAGCATCCTCCCTCTAACCCACAGGGCCAATGCCTCACTCCATCCTTAAAAGCCTGGGTTTTCACATGCAACCTGAGGCATCAGTTTTCAACATCACATTCCCCTGCATTACTGTCTGAGGCTCTCTTCACCTTTGAGACTTACTCCCATCAAGTCCATGCCACTTGTTTATTCTCCCCACTCTCCAGCAAGTGTTTCTAGATCCTTCTTATAGCTGATCTATTTACCGCTGGGGAAACCCTGGTCTCTCACAGTTCTTCAGCCCAGTAGGAGAGAGAGGCCTCAGGTCTTACATCGTCTTGAAGATCCTTCTCCTGCAGCCTCAGTTTCCTACCCACTGCCCATACATCATGTGCACAATGGGTGTGACCCTAGGGGATGAGACAATATCTTCAGGGAGCAACGATTGGACTGGGCTCAGGAAGCAGGACTGGGCTGATTACCACTGGGGCCGGAGGAGCAATGGGAGTTGTTAAAAAGTTTCTAAATGTCTCAAAAACACATACTCTTTGCGAGTTCCTCCTTGGGGGCCAAAGGTACCAAGGATAATGAACATTTAGAGATGTGTGGAATGAAGGATTCTCAGGCCAAGATCCAAAAGGTCAAGAGTCTCTTCAAAAGGAACAGACTTTCTGCGAGTTTTAGAAACCGTTTCTTAGGCCAGTGATTCTTATCCTTGAATCACCTGCAAAGCTTGTTGAAAAACAAATTAGTGTGCCCCAGCCCCAGGCTTTTTCATTCAGCTGGTCAACTTCGAGGCCAAGAATTTGCATTTGTAAGAAGCTCTCAGATGCTGCGGACGCTCCTGTTCCTGGGCCCACACATTGAGAACCACTGACTTGCTCCTCAGCACAGCGGACTGTTCGCTCTCACGGAATCGTCAAGATTAACTGGTTTGAAACTTTTCTTTCTTCTCCTTCTCCTCCTTTCTTCCTCTTTTTTCCCCCACTTTTAAACTTAATATAAAATCTTTACTTAGATAGGAAAATGTATATAACATTGGAAATTTATTACCCTGTAAACCTTGTCCTTTATTTTGCCAACCAGAATGTTGATTGGAAATTTATTACCCTGTAAACCTTGTCCTTTATTTTGCCAACCAGACCCCCAATGTTGATTCACCATCCATATCCTAGTCTACTCACATCATCTATAAAATGCTAGCATTCATGCCCTGGCCAGTTAGCTTAGTTAGAGCATCATGCCAATATGCCAAGGTTGTGGGTTCAATCCCTGGTTAGGGCACATACAAGAAGTAACCAATGAATTCATAAAGAAGTGGAACAACAAATTGATGTTTCTCTCT